TTCGTAAACGTAATTACTCGAGCAAACAGAATAGAGAGTAAACTGTTAGTAAACAGACTAAACTTATAATTTCACGATGAATCCTGACGAGGAGAAATTGCTATCGGCGTTAATCTTGAAATAATTGTTTTATCGTTCGTCTGTCGAATTGAATGGAAATGTCGAAATAATAATTCTCTTCTTCTTGAAGTTTCAAAACATGCGAAGTGTTTTTCTTTTTCTTTTTTTTTTTTTCATATTGCACATTTCCAATCTGCGTGCAGAGATTCATATCATACTGTTTTGAGTTTATTCGAAGTCTTGTCTCTTATCTCAGATTATTTGCTGTTTTATTTGAATAATCGAGTTCAAAGTAATGTATCATTACCAAGTAATTACAATCACTTGTAATGTCATAGCAATACAATAATTTCATATTTGCTACATATTTCTCAATTATTTGTACAATTATATTAATTATTATTATAGGCATAACATTCATACGAATATTATACATTACGTATATATAATTGATATTATATATCAATAATAGCAATTATTATTTGATAATGATTTATTTATTATTTATAACGATTATAATAAAGTTACATCTTTTAAGTTAACATTTCCAGAATGAAAGTAAAAAATTACTCCAAATAGTTCGTTACTTCGAATTTCAGTCAATTCTTACCTTTATCCCAAGCAAAATGTTCGGTAAGAGAGTAGAGAGCCGTCTCCTCTCTTAACGTACTTGACCCGTTGGCTATTAATCTCCGTGTGCCATCAACCCCTCTCGATCCCACAGGAGGCGTTTCCCAACTAATATACGACGACACGACCCACGCCTCTATCGGCCACGGCCTAACGAGGACTGACTTTAACGGTTAAATAATATTGCTTTGAGCTCTTTCTCCACGAGTACCATGGAAACATCTATCGCGAAACTACGTCGTAGGTAATTCACTTGCGAATAGAGGGAGCAAGATGAGAACACCAAGGAGGAATTACGCTCGCTCGGATCTTCGCGAAATACTAGTTGGAAAATGAATTTTTGATGAAAAAGAAAACTGTTTATATATAGCATACAAATATATATAAATATAAATATACTTGTATCTAAAATTATAAATATATATATATATATATATAATTTTATAATTTTATAATATATATAAATTTATATATAAATATAAATATATTTGTATCTAAAACATGTAAGGTTGTTTAATTAAAATACTGCTCTTTATACGTATGAATATTTGAAACACTTTTGTATAGAAAAACGAAATCTTGCAAGTTTCTTATTTACAGCGTTCTCCTCTCGAGGAAGCGTTTTCCTTCCTGTCGTTCTTCATTCATTCATTGACCAGAGAAATTTATAAGCATCAGAATTCGGATCGCGCGGCAGCAGACAGAAATTCGCGGCCTCGTTATGCTTTACGATCGTCCATGTAAAACAATGGAGCGGTCCTGTCAGTTTTACAAGCCACGGCCCGAGCACACACAGGTGTATCGTGGTTATTTACCGCGCAATAATCGTTAACCTCGGCTCGCCCGTCTTGCGCGTATTTCTTCCAGCAGCTTCTTGCCGTGGCAAAAAAACTCTCTAACATAACCGTGCAACGACCTTTCTGTTCCTCCGTTCGCGGGAACGTCTCGTACGAAATCGCGGTGACGATCCCCTCGCGTTAAATCGAGATTTCTTATGAATATCAAATTCGCACGCACGAATTTATATTTCCATTATGCCTGTTTTTCTATACGTAATTTTCAATTGTTAAATGAACGTTCGTCCAATATTTCGATAAAAAAAAAATATTCGTGCCGTTCGAACCGAACGTGAACGAATGGGTTTTTATATTATTTATAATTTGGAGGAACAAAAATTTATAGAACAAAATATGTAGATTTGAATCATCTTTCAAGAGTTTGCAACTTGATATTGCTTTCGAAGTGAAATTCGAATTTTCCGCCATATTGATTCTAGGATCTCATCACTGCGCATGCGTCTACATTTATAAATGGATGGTGGATTTTTATGCATATTTAAATAATATAAATAATATAAGCGATATAAGTAATAAATATCGAGAAATGAAAATATACTTTTTCAAATGAACAAAAATTGCACGAACTTTTTTTTGATCAAACTTCGACTCAAGGCGAATTTTCGAAGTGTCTTAGATTCTGTTACGACGCACTGCGCATGCGCCTCGATGTTAACATCTAACCTTTATATCGTGCACTTTTATAATTATAAATTACGTCAAAGAAATATGAAATTTGCTTTATCTGCTGAATAGTATAATTAATACTACTTTGAATACTTTTATATCCATATTTTTGCATATTTTGTGCATGCATTCACGTATCTGCAAATTTCTCATGGATGCATGAAGAATTGCAGTTCACAAGAAATTTCTTTTTCACTTATTACGTTATTAACTCGTTATTAACCCATTAACTAAGCTCTGATTAAATAAACTCGTTAATTATATTCATATGAAACGCATGAAAATTCGCAGATTCTTTGTAAGGATTAGACGCGAAGACGCATGCACAATGCGCAGTGTTCAAATTATATAGTTTCTGTATACATATATATACATATTTCCTTTTATCTTATTTTCTTTCCTTTATCTACCTTATTTTCTACTAAATATGTATCGTAATTAACACTTGTAGTAAATATTATGATAAATTCGTACTCCACTCTGACTGCTTTGTATCCATATTTTTGCATAGTTTATGTTCTGTATCTATGTATTGTGTGTACTTTCAAATTTCTCACTTATGCATAAAAATTTTCAGTCCAATTATTAGAAATTTCTGTTTTATTCCTCGTTACAAACTCCGTTAAACAAGCTCCGATTAATTATATTTATATAAATGTACAAATACACGAAAATTCAGTTGTAGAGGGAGACACGGTCTACTTTTAGAGGGAGACGCATGCGCAGTAACTTCGAGTGTTACATATGGGCGGAAAATTCAAATCACTTCGAACACGATATCGAGTGATTTAATAAGAGTTGAGTCTCTGACACTAGACAACTAATTAGTCTGCGATTAATAGTATTGCTAAGCATTCGTGAAAATGACAAACATTTATTTTCTCCATTAAATATAATGATTGATACTTGATAAATATTATATAATTGAGTCGAGTTATATAATCCTTGATGAACAAAATTAAGTAAATCTGACTTAAAGACGAAGGAGCTCTATTTCTTGTTTCGTAATAATAACAATAACTAATAATAAACAGGCAAGTCTAGAATGTGTAATATAAAATTTCCCAGAATAAAGATCTGTGTTTAATTAATTCTTTATCATTTTGAGGCTTCAATGCTTTATTCACAACTCACTTCACGGGCTCGTGCACCTTGGGATTTCTCGCAAATGCATATAAAATCTCCAGGAAACCCTTCTTTACCTCGTTCCCCGTTGCAAACTCGTTAACCAAGCACCGATTAACCGAAAGGAGAGAACAACACGGAATGGAAGAAAGGTGCGGTGGAGCGAGCGAGGCGAGAAGGGCCCCGATATCGACTCTCAATTTAGAACAGTTCGAACAAATGACCGTGATTACCGAGCGTAATGATAGCTTGGTCGCGTTCCGCGTGATTCATGCGAGCGCGCACGATTCGGGAGGCTGCAGCTTGCGCTTCGGCTCGCTCGCAGCTTGTCGCGTGCCGGACGCGCCGGACCTTAATTTTCGATCCTCCACCACGTTTCGTGACTAAATCCCTGACCGCGAGAGTCGACGAAAGCCTCCACTTGACTAAAGAAACTCCAAATTATAAAGTTTAGATTGACAATTGGATCGATAATTTGAAATATCTGACGCTGTCGTTCCTTTCTAAGACCAGCAGGTTTTTTAGAAATTTTATTTTACACTTCTTTACGTTCTTTCAAGTGACGTGACGTGAGTTTTCGAAGAAAGTGAAAGAGGAGAAGTTGAAAATACTCCCTAAAAATAATAGTTCTGTTTAAAAGTCTGAAGATCACTTCCGAAAATTCGATAACTCACCGTTCGCAATAACACCGCCAACGATATCTCCACGTATCGTATCGAATCAATTGAATATTGTCAACGAACATAGTACGTATCCGCGAACGTCGATCCAATCACTGATCCCAACAATCGCGGGTGCAACGGTGGCTACCAATCGGGAAATGGGAAAGTTTCGTTCGAAAACGAGTCGTCGAAACTCTGAGGAGGCGAATGGAGGGGAATGGCACGCGGAAATGCAGAGTTAGCGAAAATTCCAGCAGTCCTGGAGAATCTCGAATGGACGATCGAGGGGGAGGGGGGGAGGTTCGACGCTCCGCGACGACGAGGAAACCGTCTGGCTGGCTTGCATAGTCACCGAGATAGGTATCGTGGCCGAGATTTATCGCGGCGCACCGTCTATGCGTTCTGACTATAGCCGCGGATAGGTCTCCGCGTCTCACCGATGCCCGGCGTGTTTCGCCATCAGCGGAACACCTGCGAATTCAACCGAATGCCCGTGAGAATCTGAAAACGGAGAGCGAGCTTTTCGCGGGCCTTTCTGAAATCACCGAATTCTGTAAACCAATCGTTCGTTTCACACGAACATACAATTAGGCTCACAAAAATTAGGGGATATTTCAAGTTGAATACGAAGGGATTAAAGTGTGATTCTCCGAATTTTTACATTAATTCTTGTATTATTATTGTCGACCAGTTATTGGAAACTGGCACGCTATCTCCGCGTGCAGTGAACAGACTTTGTTGATGTATCACTTGTCTTCATAAAGGTGTCGCCAAAAAAAAAACTACGTGTGCGAATACTACTTTCAATGATATTTGAACTGGCAACGAAGGGAACCACAATACTTTCTCGACTCTCGAGCTTTCGTAATTTTATAATTTCATATCATTATTTCATTATCTGTTACATAATACAAATTGCATAAAATAAAATTTATATAATATATAATAATTAATTTAAATTACATACAATCTCACATAATCATTGTATATATAATTCGTATAAATTTTGTATTATCATTCGTTGCTACTGTTCGCTCCTTCTCGCACAAAGATAAAAAATTAACTGGGCCAATATCTTTTCCTACATTATGCACCTACTTTTCATTTTCGTTTCTCCTTACAGCAGAGAAGAGTGGCCCTCTCTTATCCCACACTCGTTCGCCGCGATACGTAGAGAAACGACCGCGAAAAAAAAAAAAAAAAAAAAAAAAGAAAGGAAAAGAAGAGAGGAGAAGCGATCGTGGCAGTGCTAAATCAAATTTAAAGTGCAACGCGGCGGTGTGTATGGTTACAGGCGGGCCAGGACGTCTGGGATCGAGCTTAATAGCGGCTTTTTATCGGCTCTCTCTGTCGCCGGTGGTGCGCGGCTTACGCGCTGGCCGCGTATTTATGAAGCCGCGCGGATCCGGTCGACAGGTGCGCAGCTGCGAGCACTGGGCACGCGTCTCCGCACGCTGCAGCTGAACTAATTACCGATGTGGCCGAGCCAAGTAACAGGTACGGTTAATGCGACCGAGAGACAGAGAGAGAGAGAGAGAGAGAGGGGATCGGCCAATACGTACATATCGGTAACTCGTCGACCAAACGACTGTTTGTTTGTCACACCGATCAGAAATATATACCGTGTATATACGCGCAGCGTGGCGTTTCGTCGCCGAGGGCAGCATCATCGTTACTCGTTGCTGCTTCTCTTACTTTCGCATCAACTTTATCATCGGGCCACCGATTTTTATGCATTCCTCGTGAAAACGCGCACAACAGAATCTGCTGACCTGTCGACGATGTTGCGTGCTTTGTACAAGCCGGCAGGTAATGATTATGTTAATGTAATACAATACAGATAATAGAATACTAATATGTTAATATTAATGTTATATAATATATAACAATATTAATATGTCATATGTGTTATATAATATTAATAATAATTGATTATATAATATTATATAATATTATATTATATTATAATTTATATAGATTATATTAAAATATAT